AAAAAAAAAAAAAAAAAAAAATTATTTTGGAAAGTGGATCTTAGTTCTCGATTTTTAAATCAATATTTTGACAGGTGATAAAATAGGATCTTATTTCGGAGATGCCTATTTTAGTTTTTAATGTAGACTTTGAAATGCAGTCTTATATATAAATTTTTCCATTCCACACCTGCGCATGTTTCCTTTTATCTTTTAAGCTCCTTTATTTAAATCCTGGCATATTATTTTTCTTTTCTTTTGTCATTTTTCTTCTATTCATTCATTTCACACTACCTGCTGTTGTTAGGTAACATCCATCCTGAACTTCCAAGTTCTATTGGGCAATGGTGGCAGGAAAATATTGGCAAGGCTTTGGACGAAGGATCCACTTTCGAACGCGTAGGGTCCAGGCAGCTGGCTGGTTTGCTCATAGCTATCTGGTAAGGTCTTACATTGCAACTACACATAGTGATAAATTCTTATCCACTTTTTCAATGTCAAAACTCCACCGTCTGAACTGAACTTGTCAAGCCTTTCAAATTTTTGGTTTGACACCTCCTAACATACATTTTGACAGCTTGTTAATATCCTTCATTCAGGGTGAGAAAGACAGTTAGAACACACGTTGGGGACCTGGATGTTGCTGCAGTTGCGTGTGGTTTAGGTCGTGCAATTGGCAATAAGGTAACCAAGCGATTTGTTGCAAATCTAAGGCATTGGGCTTTGACCGTTTAGTATTTTTTTGGTGATAGTCCCCTCTGCCCAAAGTTGGGGTTATTGAGTAATATTGTCTTTGATCTCAACTATGAGAACAAGTTGTAATGCAGTCCTAGCTCATTCACTGTCGATTTGTAGTATTTTCTTGGATATATTTGTATGATTTGATGTCCACATAAGTTTCGTACTCAAAGTTGATCAATCTCCTTTCTGTCATTTCCGCTATCGTGATTTACATGGCTCAATTTTGTATTCAGGGAGGTGTAGGCTTGAGGTTGAGAGTATTCGATAGGATAATGTGTTTTACAAATTGTCATTTTGCTGCACATTTGGAAGCAGTTAACCGCCGCAATGCTGATTTTGATCATATATTTCGAACCATGACGTTCATCCGCTCATCTAACCTTCTTAACAATGCTGCTGGTATGCTGTCATTCCTGTTTTTCTCTTGCTCTCTAATATTTTCTACATATTTATTTTGGTTGCTTTGTTATTCTGGCTTCTCATTGCAGCTGGTGTCTCATCTTCTACTCAGACCCTTCGTGCTGCGAATGTATGCATTTGATTCAGAATGAGTTGTTCAAGTACGTTTCTTCTCATTAGATTATGGCCCTGATTTTACGATGGTTCTCTTGGCCTAACAGGCTGCTGCTCCTAATCCTAACGAGGGAAAGCCCGATCTTGCTGAAGCCGATATGGTCGTCTTTTGTGGTGATTTTAATTATCGTCTTTTTGGCATATCTTATGACGAAGCACGGGATCTTGTTTCCCAGAGAAGTTTTGACTGGCTTCGAGAAAAAGATCAGCTTAGGGCAGAAATGAAAGCTGGCAAAGTTTTCCAAGGAATGCGTGAGGCACTCATCAAATTTCCACCGACTTACAAGTTTGAAAGGGGAAAACCTGGTTTGGGAGGTAATATCGTAACTAATAATAACACTTGCGCATCTGTTGCTTGGTTGTTTCATTGAATGTATTTCTATGAGGTACATCTGGTTTCTCCTCGAGGACGATTTTCACACGTGTTTTTCTTTTTTTTTTTACCTTAGTCTATGACTCATTGATAGCATTAACGACTATGTAATTCTTTATTTGTAGGTTACGATTCGGGAGAGAAAAAACGAATACCGGCTTGGTGTGATAGAATACTATACAGAGATAGCAGGGCCACTCCAACAGACGAATGCAGTTTAGAATGCCCTGTTGTTGCTTCCATACTACAGTAGGTCTCACAAGATTATTTTCTCTGTTAGTTTTCCTTTTGCGGGTTTGTAATCAAACCTTTTTTGTTCAATATGTATGGCAGATATCAAGCTCGTATGGATGTTACTGAGAGTGATCATAAACCTGTACGGTGCAAGTTTGATGTGGACATTGCCCGTGTTGACAGATCAGTGAGGAGACAAGAGTTCGGAAAAATTATGAAGTCCAAGGACACAATCAGGTCTTACCTTGCCGAACTACGCTTCGTTCCAGAAACCATTGTTAGCACAGAAAAAATAGTGCTGAAAAATCAAGAAACTTTCAGTTTGAGAATCACCAACAAAAGTGGTACAGAATTTGCATTTTTCCAAATCATCTGCGAGGGTCAATCTGCAGTCAAAGAGGACGGAGTAGCATCCGACTATCGGCCCAGAGGATCACTTGGTTTCCCTCGTTGGCTTGAGGTAATATATAAATTTTTTTAAAAGTAAATTTGTTTATGTTAATTCTGACGTGTCGACAATGCATCTCCCAGCATGTTGGCAACGTGTCAACGACATGTCCAATTGTACAAAACTAAAAAATAATTTGATGTTCCCGAGGCGTGTCGGTGTCTGACACGTGTTAGACACTGACTTCCGGAACCGAGAAGGTGTCGATGCATCCTAGTTTTTGATATTCTGATACAGAACTGGACTGAAAATACTATCTTCTACAATAATAAAATCATCAAATATGATTTAGGTGACACCTGCAGCCGGCATAATCAAAGCTGATGAAGTTGTAGAAATATCCTTACATCACGGAGAATTCCGTACACTGGAAGAATTTGTAGATGGTTTTCCACAAAGCTGGTGGTCCGAAGACACCAGTGACAAGGAAGTCATTTTGCTGGTGAACGTAAAAGGCAGTCGCTCCACTGTAACAAAAGCTCATAGAGTACACGTCTGCCATTGCTCCTCGGGAAGTTCGGTTCACCTTGATCAGAAATGTAACAATTCCAAGAAACACCAAGGTAGTTCCCACCACAGATCTTCACTTCGGAATACAGGCAGTGCCTCCGAATTGGCTGATGACCACTGGAGCTCAAGGGATCCCTGACGCTACACGAATACTACCTCTAGAGAGATTGTTTAGTCGAGCTCATTAATTTTGCTTACTGCGGTACACATCATTTTCTTGTACATACTCGAGGATGTTATTAGTTTCTTAAAGCTTGATCTATATTGCAAAATTTGAGCATACATACCAATTTTTTAATCATCAATTGTAATGTTTAGATCAGATGACAATCCAGTCTTCAACTGAAAGATGAAAGATTATGATTATCGGTAAATATATATATATTTTTTAAAGAACTTCAACCTGATTTATTGTACATCTAAATTGGTGCTAGATACTAAACTCACTTGTACACACAAACTCGACTCGTCCATGGCATACATTTGCTCTTATTAGGGTGAGCAAAAATACCCGGAACCCGTGGAACTGGTTTGGGATCGGGATCGAACTTCACATTAACTAACCTCTACTTTATCAGTTGTAAGGTCATTGAAAGAAAATAGAGCCAGACCGGAACAACACCAAAAGCAGTCTAGTCGGTTCGATTCTGGTTTGGTACTAGCATTGGAAATGGTACCACAAGTTCTACTCGTATAATTTCTATTGGGAATTGGTTCAGTGATCGAAACGGACCGTGTTCATCCCTAATTTTTATGTTATAATAAAGTCACGAGCTTAACTCGCTTTAAAATTGACTTACAATATGAGGTTCACTGACTCTATATATTTGCACATCTCAATAGAAAGAAATATAGGAATTTTAGATATCGGAGTGGCGAAATGTGAAGGTATTGAAATAATTTACAGGTGCCAAACTGAAAACATGGCACAAACTGAAGTATACACAAAGGTCAAAAAAAGGTTAAATATAAGCAATTAACTGGCAAAATGACTCCACTGGTCCTTCCTCCAATGTTTTTGCAATATGATTTAGCCTTTGTTCTGCTGTTAACAAAACTGATTTTGATGTCTCTTAATGAGATATCAGTGCATGGATTGGTAGGGCTGCATTCAAATATCATAGCCACCTCTGTTGCTGATGTTCCTTGTATATTTTCGTAGATAATTGAACATATCTTTATTCCTGAACCCTGTTGGGGACAACCTTGGTTGCCGGGACAATAATTTTGATCGATAATAATTGGATTATCGACCTTCTTCGTAAGGATATTTCGATAGTGAATGTCTCTAACGAAAACATTTGAGGGTCTCGCCCATGTTTTAAGCCGTAACCCATTGTCGGATCCAATCCAATGAAAACCGAATGGGTTAAACCCCTGTTTGTTTCATATTACTAGAAGAATTTTTACCGTTGCAAAATGGATCAGCCGCAATCTTTGACTACCTTGTCTCACAATGGGCCAAAAATTTCATTTTCATGTACAAAATAATATCAGATTTTTTACTCCAGCTTCATTATAATCCCTCCCTAGACTGCTAATGCTGCAAACACATACACAAATTAATTACTTCAAGATTAAGATAAAATAAGTGAAAATCCTAGCAAGTTAAGTACCTAACACCATGTCCAGGGCCACACAGTCATCTCCAGTCTTTATGCTGCTGCCAGTGATTGTAATACCAGCAGAGGACTGAACATGAATCCCGTCGGTGTTATGGCTCGAGTAGGGAGCTACAATTCTCACATTACGAATTATTATGTTGTTGCAGCTATTAATTACGAGGTGCATTAACTCACTACTTATCGATGTTTATCCACTTATCACGACGTCGTTAGCCCAGTTGAATGTTATAGACTGAAAGTCACAAAGTAAAATTGTTAGTCAAACAGTAAGTCGTTATCAAGTCTAGCGTACCAAATATGTACTTACTAGTAAGTGCAAGTTTTGCACGTACCGAAGCTCTTAAATCTAGGCTTTTGATAGTAATAGAATTTTACATGTTTTTCATTGTTTTAGGAAGCCACCGGACTCGAGATACATTGAGGAAGATAAAAGACGAGATATTTGGCATTTTGAAGTGGATTTCAAGTTGAAAAACAAGAGCCTGAGACCAGAGGATCAAGCAGAGAAGATGGACCAATAATTTGAAGGAATTGAGCATTCACTCGAACGCGAAATGGCCTCTCTCAAGTGAGGTGAGTCCAAAGGGTAAAATTTTAGTCAAACATTACTAAGTATCCAATCTAATATGCTAAACATAATAACATATACAACTATACGTACATTATGTAATTTCCCGAGTTCCGTGAACCCGGATTGCCACGTCATATTCTTTTGTAACCGAATTAACTAACATGATTTGCGGAAAGTAACTAAATTTCAAACATCACATTTATAACGGTAAAAACCTCGTCGGCAACAAAACTCATTTGATTAACTTAAGAAATTTCATTAAACTTTAAATCTCGAGTTTTTGAAATACTGAAATAACAAAGTACGTTAGTAACGTTCAAATACGAAATTTTTCAAATGTAAATAACTGAATTCATTAAATCGTTGCCACACTACCCATCAAACTCGGCCGTCTCCGAAATCTGTAAATATCATTAACCGAGGCTTGGAGGGTCCTATTTCTTTGAGGTAAGTTTATGGGTTCCCTAATTTTCTTGATTTTTTTGGTTGATTTGGTGTTTTTGTGGTGGTGTTTTGGGGCTAAAGTGGTGTTGGGCAGTGGCAGTTGGAGGTGGTTGGTGTCGGTTTGGAGCTAGTGTGGTGGTGATCTCGATTTTGAGCGAATGAGATGGTGAGGTGTTGAGTTGTGTGCATTGGTGGGTTGGTGTTTTGGCTACAGTGTTGAGCTGAGGTGTTGAGTTGTGTGCGAAAATGGTGATGGTGGTAGGTGACTCGAAAAGCAGTAGGTGAAGTTGGGTTTCGGTTTTGGAGTGGTGTTAGTGGTGGTGCAGGCTGCTGGGTGTTGGTTTGGTGGTGGCTTGGTGGTTTCGATTTGGACGGTGGAGTTGATGGTTTGGTGGTGAGCTTGGTCTCGTGATGGTGTTAGGCAGTGTTGGTTGGTGGTGGTTTGAGGTGAGCTTCGGTTTGGTGATGGTGAGCTTGGCTGTTGAGGATGCAGCTGATTGGAAACATTATCTTGTTGGTGCTAGAAATTAAAGTTCTAGCATCAACATGATTTTCCAGTGGAATGAATTAAAGAACAAATGAAATTTCCTTACTCAGAGTGCTGGCTGCGGGAATAGTGAAGGAGGAAATGAAATAACGGTGAATAAAATAGTGAAATTTAGGGCACAATTCCCTAGGTAACAGTTTGGGCCAAGCATTTGGGCTGCAGGGTTTACCGATTGGGTTTAGGTGGATTGGACTATTAAAATGAGACTTAATTGAAATGGGCTAAATAAATTGGATTAAAAAAAAAAAAATTATGGTACTTATAATTATTTGAGAATGAATTTGATTCAAAAATTTAAATTCGTTTATAACAATTAGACGAACGCGTTTTCACTTTAACATTAGGGTTTAAAATTTAGCGACACGTTTTTCGAGAAAAATAATTTTATAAAATTTAAAATTCTTGGTCGCTACACATTAGCTCCAACTGGGCAATTCTTTCCCGATCTTCTACATGCCCAAAAACCAACTCCTTTGGCATCCAGTGTTCCACCGATAACTGAAATCTTGTTAACATGAATGAATAATATCCAGTAGTTCGAGTTGCCAATAACACGGTAATCATCTGGAGCGACTAGAGTACCGTCAATCTGAACTTTGATTTGATTCCTACACGGTCCTCTAAACGCTAATTGGTTTAGTAAGTAACGTCCTTTAGGGACGTAAAGTTTCGACTGTCGGACCGAGCTACATGCCAATGCCCATGCCTTGATGAATGGCTGAGAGGCATCAGTTGTACCATCTGGTTTAGTGCACATGGAGGTCGCAACCAAAAGTAACACAAGCCAATAAACTATGGAATTAGCCATTTTCTTGAATCTTATGCTCGAGACAGAGAAAGGGCAAGTATTTATAATGTATTGAAATATGATCCAATTACTATTAGATATTGATAAGTGCAATTTGTGCATTTATTTGGATCAAATTATTAAATTTTTATGTCGTCAAATAATTAAATTTTACTTTAACTTGGGTTGTTTTTCTTTTGTTTTTAGTTATGGACTCGCTCGAAGCAATTGGAAATAAAAGAATGATGAAATTGAATAAAATCGGCAATTTTAGAGATAATGTTTCACACTTTGGAAATCGAAGGACTAGAATGTACATTCTAAAATAATGTTGGACATTGATGCAAATTACAATTTAAGATGGCAGTAAAGAAGTGAGAGTTATTATTAAATTAGGCTTTACTTTGATTTGGACTCAAATCTAATTGGACTTGAAATTCTAATTACCATAGAACATAATAGTTGGAGGAGACATAAATACACAAACAGATTCACGGAAGAGAGGGGGGCGCTGAAGAGAATCAGAAAAAGAGAGAAAAAAAAGGTGGCAGGAAGAAAAGCAGAAGAAAAGAGAGAAGAAATAGGAGAAAGAGAAAGAGAAGAAAAGAGAAAGAAGAAAGGGGAAGAAAGAGAAAATGAGAAAGAAAAGTCAACAGGAGGAAAAAAAAAGCAGAGAAAGAAAGAAGAAAGAGGAAATAGAAAGGAAAAAGAAAAGAAAGCTGCAAACACCAGACATTTTCACTTTTTATCAAGTTTTGGTGATTTCTTTTCACTTTTTTTTTTAATTATTCCATTATGAATAGCTGAATTTTATATTAGGGAAAACAATCTAATCGACTTGTGATCATTTACTTGTTTTCAAGGTCTCTGTGATTTAATTATTTATTTATATGCTGATTTTATTATGATTTTAATGCATTAAATTATCTGATCAATAATTTGATGATTAAAATGGGGTGTCAAACACCCCCTAAATTATAATCAAAGCAGTTTCATGTGGGGTGGGATATAGTATGTATGTGGTAAAGATAAATTCTGATTTATGAATTGAAAACTCAGAAAGCAAGGTTTTATGTATGTAATTTCCTCATTTATAAATAGCATATTAGGCTTATTCGGAGTATTTTCAAGAGATTCTTTAAACATGAAAACTCTCTATTTTAAAGAGTCAATTCTTAAATTTATACTTTAAGAAATTTTTTAAATTAAAATTTTAATTCAAAGAGTGTCGTTCTCCATAATTAAATGCATTCAAAGTATTTCAATTTTCAATATAGGAAAATAATATAATAATTTTTAAAAAAAAACTAGTGAAAATAAAATATAAGAAAAAACAATAAATATTTTTTGAAGTAGTGAAATTAAGTGTTAACTATAAAGAGCCCGTTGTATTACTTAAATTTTTTTACAAAAAATAATTTCTTACTTTCCAAAATTAGATAAAGAGCATTTTATTTCTCCAAATAATACTCAATAACGGGTGTATGGTTTTTAATGGGAGTTCATGAACAATTACTCGAATTTTTTACTCATTACTAGGGGTGGACAAAACCCAAATCAACCCAATCAAACTGTCCAACCCGACCTAAACCGATCGGTTTGGCTCGATTTTTTGCTATTTTTAGGTGGGTTTCGAGTATTGAGTTGGGTAGTCGGGTCGGGTCAGGTTATGAGTTAACAACCTAAACCCGATCCAACCCGACTACATTAAAAAGAAAAAAAAGAAAAGGGGAAACACTGTCTCCCGGCATATCCTAAGTACTTCAATCAAAAACTTCTCTCTCCAAAGTTCAAACTTAGGTTTCACCTCTCAAGTTCAGCATTCTTGACAAAATCCATACAAAACTTAGAAATTTTCCAAAAAGAGACCAAAACCTTTCTGGGATTCTTAGAATGTTTCGAGGTGATGTGTGATTCTCATTATTCTCTCTTCGAACGTGTTTCTTTCTTTGTTTTTTTTTTGTGCGATGTTTGCGTTTCTTCTTCTTTTGCCTTTTCAATTTAAGAATTAACTGAGACTCAACTACATTTTGCACTGAGTGTTAAGTTTATACATTTTGCACTGATGATTTTTTTTCTTTTGCACAAAAATCTGTGCACAGATTTAATGCTTTTGTTGAACAAGATTGTATTGGTAGGAATTTTACATTCTTACGAATGCTAATGATGCAAGTATGTAATATGAATTTGATGAAGCTTTAATAGCTTCTCAATTACCCAAATTCCATTTTTACTTTACCATTCCTATTAAAAAAGTTTCCTTCTTGTGATGTTTTTATTTGTTATTTTCTACTAATTTAGCATCCGGCATCAAATTTTTATGTTCTCAACAAATTAAAGAACGATTTTTTTTCCTGAATTTTTCATCAATTAGTTATGGTTGGAGTGTTGGGTATTTATGGATTGATTATTGTTGTGATTATCAGTACTGGAAATAACCCTAAAGCTAAGTCTTACTACTCGTTTGATGGATATGCTCACCTTTCTTCTAGTCTCACTTGTAGTCTCGCTGGCCTTTCTGCTGGTATAGCCATCGATATTGTTGGTGATGCTGGTGTTAGGCAAATCCAACTCGACCGACACTTGGTTGGGTTTGGTTGGGTTTCAACATTTATACTGGTTGAGTTCGGTTTGGATTGGAGCAAAACCCAACCCAACCCAACCCACGCCCACCCTCCTCATTACTAATTGCCAAAAGTTAGAATTTTTTTTATACGTGTTGCTTCACTTTTCATGTAATTTTTTATTAGTGGTTTGCTCAAAGCGTTAAATAAAGTAGAAATATGAAGGCAAATGAGGCAGTGGCAGAGAGAGGCATGACATTAAGATGGGAAGAAAGGTTAAATTCGGAAAAGTGAACCATTTGTGATTAGTTGTGATTTTTCATTTTCTTTTAAACTCCCTTTTTTAAGGAAATAAAATTTAAAGTTGGCAAATCAATTTGTCCCTGTAAAAGGTGCACATGCTTATTTAATCCTAATTGGATGACTTGATTAGATCGATGCTCTAGTATAACTGATGCTAGATAGCATCATTGTTTAATATTTTATAGTGACAGCATTTGGCAGTTGACTGTAACGACCCGAGTCCCACTTAACGGGCTGTCCCGACCGTTAGATCGACGACGTATTGCCCCCATTGTACCAACATGGGTCTTTTCAGCATGTTTTTTCATCACTTGCACGCTCCCCAAGAAAACTTCTCAGGGGGTCACCCATAATAGAATTGTTCCAAACCAAGCACGTTTAACTGTAGAGTTTCTAACGATAGACTTTCGGAAAAGAAGGTGTACATTATTGGTATGAGTAGTATATATCAAATCTTTTAAACTTTCTTGGTCTGTGTATTACAATCACCCCCATTAGACTCGCGACGTCCTCGTCGCGCTTGATCCATCTGAGGATCCATTGCTAGGCGTTGGGATTCTAGAGTGGCTTCTACGGGTTCAAGAGGTGGCTCCCGCCCTATGGCGTAACACTTTGTCCCGCATGTACATTATTGGTATGAGTAGTATATATCAAATCTTTTAAACTTTCTTGGTCTGGGTATTACAATCACCCCCCGTTAGACTAGTGACGTCCTTGTCGCGCTTGATCCATCTGAGGACCCATTGCCGGCGTTGAGATTCTAGAGGTGGCTTCTACGGGTTCAAGAGATGGCTCTCGCCCTATGGCGTAGCACTTTGTCCCCGCATAGGGGTCACCCATCATAGAATTGCTCCAAACCAGCACGTTTAACTGTAGAGTTTTTAATGATGGACTTCAGGAAAGAAGGTGCACCTTATTGGTATGAGTAGTACCTATCAAATCTTTTAAACTTTCTTGGTTTGGGTATTACAATCACACTCCGTTAGACTAGTGACGTCCTCGCCGTGCTTGATCCATCTGAGGATCCGTTGCCCGGTGTTGGGATTCTAGAGGTGGCTCCTACGGGTTCAAGAGGTAGGTCCCACCCTATGGCGTAGTACTTTGTCCCGCGTAGCACTTAGTGAGGATACAACATGCTGAGAAGACCCATGCTGGTACAGTATGGACAGTACATTGTCGATCTAACAGTCGGGACAGCCCTTTTAGTGGGACCCAGATCATTACACTGACAGTAGACACAAATTGTGTGGCCATAGGTTGGTTCACTCGGTGTGAAAAATAAAAACATAAATACTCTATCCCCTAGAACCCGAAGGCCCTGTGGCTACAATTTTGGTTGAGGCAGGTCGTCTTGGCCACCTTCACTTCACAGTTAACATTCGTAATCCAAGCAAGCAGCAATGGAATCAGAGGAAGTGGGCAACAGGTAAATCCTACTGAATGATTACATTAAAGGTTTTCCAAAAGATTCAGACATGTCTGTTGAATATTGGGACTCCGATTAACCAAGAACTAGGCTCAGTCTCCAAACCAATCGACACCACAATGCAAACCACAACACAAACCAAACACCACCTAAGTAGCACACGGGTTGCTCCACGGGTTATAGCCTACAAAAGACTGGGGTGAGAAGATTACAGCCTAGAAGAAATAACCACAAATGCTAGGTAGCGAAAAAGATCTCCCAAGTAAAGCACTAAGCCAAGGCATAAAGCAAAGAAGCGGAGGAATCAGTTTTCTCAAGAATACATGGCTGCTCAACAATCTTTCACACACTAAAACAGTAATTGACAACCAAATGAATAGGTTAGGAATAGACACGGGCTTTAGGTCAAATAGTAGGGCCCAATAACAAATGGGATAATGGGCTAACATCTTTAAAGCCTTCCAAGTACTTGGGTTGAGCAACACTAATATAATTAGACTGCTTCAAATGACCCAAATGTGTTACGTGAGAGATTTAGACAATTGTGGTGTCGATTTTCAACTTCAGTCATAGGCCGAGGCCTATGAATAGCTGTGTCAACGAGCCGAGTCGGGAAAAAAAAGCTCAGGCTTGGCTCGAGATTTTTTAAGCTGAGCATTTTTTGGCCGAGCTGAGCTAAGCTCGGCCAAAAAAAACATACTATAAATTAAATAAAGAAGCTCGAGCTC